TTATGGGGCTGTCACGTGATGAACGAACGACTCGGAAAAACCCGAAGACTCGAGAGATGAACTAATCAATTCTCTTTCCGGCTCAGACTGCATTGGTTAAAGCGTATGGGGCTGTCACGTGATGAAGGAACGACTCAAACCCGAAGACTCGATGGATGAACTAATCAATTCTCTTTCCGGCTCAGACTGCATTGGTTAAACTTATGGGGCTGTCACGTGATGAACGAATGACTCAAAAAACCCGAAGACTCGAAAAAGGTGAACTACTTGACTAATTCTAGTACAGAACCTATAGGATGTTGCGCATGCACGACTGAACGAATCACTCCCCGAGACGACTCGTTCTTCCCGAGTCACATTAAAGATTTGTTCAAAATGAACGAATCGTTCAAGAACGACCCAACACTAGAACGTGCATGTGGTACGTTTTATGTGACGTTGGTTTTGTATGCGAGTGGCGCTATAACTCTAATGATGCTCCATGACGTTTTAAAATAATGTACCATCTGTACTACATCTAAACCTACCCAATAGTATGAACAAAAGTGAATGTGACGTAAAAACACAATTGCAAGCATGCCGTTTTAGCTTGTTTTTTGATCTCTCATCTTTCAGCTCTTTCATAGTGAATCATGTTTTTGACAGAATTCGTACCAAGGATTCCACATCCTAAGTCCAATTCCGTGTCGGCTGAGCTACCGAGCAAGCCTTGTTACATCTAGAAAGCAAAACATATGGAGCTGTAATCATAACTGTGTATGAAAACGATTACACGTGCTCGCTGTTTTACCGCCTCTAGTGTTCATTTATGTTGGAAACTGCAGTGATATATACTTATTGGTAAATATTTCGCATTTTTCAAAAAAGTTCTCAGAGGTATGTTTTCGTCACGAGACCAGATTGTTAACGTTTTATAAATGTAAGATTGGCTACTCAATAATAATTGTTGTATAAAAGCAATATCACATTTGCAATTATAGTGTTTTTCTAAAAATGTGACAAGCCTGTGATTACCTGTGGCACAAGTCCAACAAGAAAGAGCACTCTTGATTCTGATTTGCTCAGCAATTTTTACTGATATGTTTTATCAGATTTAACTATTGTTACTAGCTTTCTGGTATTGTATTTTGTATTGTATCGTTTTGGAGTAAATCTTATATCTTCCAATTGTGTCTTCGATTAAGCGCAGAGAGAAATCTTTTTATGTAGAAATTAAACTCTGGAATAAGACTTTTGATTAAAAAGACTTTTGATAAAGTTGAATCTTAGAGATGTTGGAGTGTTTTTGCGTGTATTTCCTTTATGTCTGGTGGTTTGGTTTTTAGTCAGGCAGGTAATAAAGATTACAGCACTGTGCATACTGACAGCACAGTAATAAACAGCAGAGTCTGACTGACTGAGATCAGAGATTTTCAGAGCTCCATTCAGTGTTTCTGTTCTTTCCAATTTAAACCGGTCTTTAAATTCATCCTCATAGTTGGGGTCACCTGTAGCACCGTAACTTAACACGATCAAGACCATGGCTGTATCCTTTTGCTGATACCATAACATGTTTAGCATGTTACTATCATCATGACTACACTTTATCTCCACCATATTGTTATTTTTGGCTAATATGTGTTTGGGGTTCTGTTGAACGGTCACACATGTCACCTTCCCTGTGAAAAAAAAAAAGCCAGGCTTTGACAGATATTTGATTTCACCAAAGAACAATACCAAAAAAAAGATTAATTATTAATCATATTGGCATCACAAAACATCTTACCTATATACAAGAAGAAATAAATGCACAGTCCATATGCAGGTCTAAACATTCTTATATAGCAGGGTTAGAAACACTCAAAAAAATAATGTTACTGAAGATGAAAGAGGAATCCTCTACATTAAAATAAACAATGTGCATCTCCCCCTACTGACTATCAAAAAGGTCTCATGTGAAGCTGTTTTTGGGGAGGGAGGAGTACAACGACGTCATTATGTGTATAATCTGTTAGTGTGAGTGTTTTGTTCTGCTGACTTGTCTGTTTAGCTTCATTTATTTGTGGTTTAGGCAGGTGTGATTGCAGGGTGCCAAAATTTTTGTCTTATAGTTTACTGTCATTCATTCACTGTGTAAACTAGCAGCACACAGATACACAGCATTAATCCCGTCTGTAATATTCACTTTCAGGGTCCATTTCTTTGTCTCTGTACTTGACACTTTGAAGCCAGTATCAAATCCCTTCTCAATCGATTCAGCAGTCCCGATGATGCTTGCAATAAGCACCGGTCCTTCACCATGTATTTGTCTGTACCAGTATTTGTAGTCATAGTCTGTATCATTCTGGTAACAGTGCATTTCAACTGAAGAGCCTGGAAGACTGGATATGTACTTCGGCCACTGAGTGATCAGAACACCATCACTGAAATCTGCTGGAAATACAAAGATAGTTCATATTTGTCATCCCATAAAAATCTACATCAGAGGAAAACCATTGAACTGTTGTCATAATATTACAAATGAATACCTTTGAGAAAAAGCAGTGACATGCATAGAAGGAGAAACATTGCCATTTAAAATTTCCTCTGTGAAGTGTATTCCAGTTATCTATTCAATATAGGCTATTGAAAAACTAGAGATTTTAAAGTCACGCCCCTTGCTTACATCATGCTTAGGATAACTGTAATATAATTGGGTCTAACAATAAAATACAAATATTTTGAATGAAAATAAAATAAAGTCACAAATTACTTAAGAAATAATTTACATTTTAATAAGATGGAATTCAGCATACTGTAAATGAAATTCATTTTAATATATATAAATTGATATAATTTTAGATATGCCATAAATTTTCAATTTGTCATAATATATTATATTATTACAGTATATTTCTAACTTAATTTGCAAATAAATAAATACAATTAATAAATAAAATTAATTTTAAAAAAATTATTTTGAACTTTTCTTGACATTAAAATGTGCCATTTAAAATTTCCTCTGTGAAGTGTATTCCAGTTATCTATTCAATATAGGCTATTGAAAAACTAGAGATTTTAAAGTCACGCCCCTTGCTTACATCATGCTTAGGATAACTGTAATATAATTGGGTCTAACAATAAAATACAAATATTTTGAATGAAAATAAAATAAAGTCACAAATTACTTAAGAAATAATTTACATTTTAATAAGATGGAATTCAGCATACTGTAAATGAAATTCATTTTAATATATATAAATTGATATAATTTTAGATATGCCATACATTTTCAATTTGTCATAATATATTATATTATTACAGTATATTCTTACTTCCTGTTCTATTTCTAACTTAATTTGCAAATAAATAAATACAATTAATAAATAAAATTAATTTAAAAAAAATTATTTTGAACTTTTCTTGACATTAAAATGCTTTGTGAGATTCACTCAATTATAGTCACCAGTAATCACCCTCTTTTAGTTTAGAATTTCAACTCTGCTATAAGCTCTTTATCAGATTAGGAAGTAAGTGTAATTTTACACCAAATACCACAGATCCTGCTGTATTTCCTGTTTTAATGCTTAGGTTATTAGTGAGGCAAGTAATTGAGAGTACAACACTGTGCCTTTTAGCAGCACAGTAGTAGACTGCAGAATCTGACAAACTCAGGTTAGAGATTTTCAAAGCTCCAGTCACGGTGTCATCTCTGGTCATCTTGAATCTCTTCTGGAATTCAGGTTCATAGGCTGGGTCAGCTTTGCCATAGCTATAACCGATGAGGGCCAGTGATTTGCTGTTATGGAGTTGTTGATACCATAACATGACATCTAAGTCGTTGTCGTCGTGTCTACAGGAGATCTCTGCCTCTATGTCTTGCTTTATGAATATAGACAAAGGCTGATCAAAATGAACACAATCTGACAGACCTATATGAAGAAAACGAAGAGTGAAATTAAGTATTCTTTTTTTTACTTTTTAGAGTTTTTTCAAAAGAGAATGAAATGGTGTAAAATAAATCAAGAACTTCCTACGTGCAAATAAGATGCTAAAAATGGCTATTCCAAAAGCAACACGACACATCCTTTTCTCATGAAGTTGCACAGAGAGTAAGACTCAGCAACGAGAACACATTATCAGCACTTCTACTGTAGGTTTATTCACTAGAATTACACCTCCCCCTATCGTCACATATACAATACCACAGAAATGCTTACCACAGATTGTGCAGTTAAACAATATGGTAATGCTTACAAAAACAACATTTTATGTGCTGTCTAAATTAGATTTTTTTATTTTATCTATCTATGTTGGTTAAAGGTTAACATGCATGACTGATGATTACCCTTGTGAAAAAGAAGTGTCATTAATTGTATTAAATGTGCACTTGTAGTGTACTTCAAATCCTGTTAAAAAAATATATTTTTAAAAAACACTACTTTTAGATGATTTAATATTAATGAAATAATGTCCACTTAAGTGTACTTAAAGAAAGTAAGTTTCATGACTATGTTTCTTAACACATGTAAGTACACTTGAACTGTACTGTATTATGCAATATTACAGTAATTTATTTTAAATGTACTAAACTGAAACCTTATCATTACATGTTTCAATATAAATGATTTTAAAGTATATTTAAGTTTACCATAAATGCTTGATAGTATTTGGCAGTGTGTGTGTGTGTGTGTGTGTACTCAAGTTCTACTTAAGTGGTTAAAAAAACATTCCTAATTTCAACTAATTGTATTTAATTTGAATACTATAAATTAAAAAAAAAAAATGTGTGTTTAATTGCAATAAACATGCAGTAAAGTGTCCAGAAAATATTATTACAGTCTATTTGAAGTTTTGAATATTCCAGATATTGAATTTAATCTACATTTTCATAAATATCATTAATTATCATAATTTAATTATAATTAACCCATTTTAATGTAGTACCCGCAGACCTTAAAAAACACAGCTAAGAAAATAAAAATAGCAAAAACTTCTGAATTATTTTAAAGTAAAGCGAGGATGACATTGCTTCCAATTACCATGGTTACGTGTGTGATCAAGTCTGTTTCAATTTATGCAATGTATACAAATGTTTAAACATGATTGTGTGTGAAATTGTTTAAATGCTTGGAGGTACACAATGGCTTTTCAGCTTTCTGGATTATGCCCATCAAAAGAGAACAGTTTGTATTGTTCCTATATTACTAAAGTTCAATAATATGCAATAGAACACTTGTGAGGTTTCTGCAAGTAAATAAATAAATACGTAAATATGATGATTAGCTACTTGAAACCAATACTGATAAATATGGCTCTATGATCCTTTTACTATGAATTACTATGATACTTTATGAACAGGACAGATGTTTTTGTTGTACACAGCAGAGTTTTGTCAAACTGTGTCGCTCACAGCACAGAAATACACCGCACTGTCTTCTGAAGTAAGACTGGAGATCTGAAGTGTCCCGTGGGTTTGTGAGTTCCCATAAATATGAAAGCGATAGTCCTTCTCAGGATTGAATGTTGTCGTGTAAAGGTGCCCAAGAAGTTTAAAGGATTCTCCTTGTGTTGTTTGTTGGTACCAGTAAAGATAGTAATAGCTGCTGTAAGTGTGAATGCAGCTGATGTTCACAGTGTCTCCCAGATGCTTTATCATGTCAGGAGGTTGATCAATGCATGAACCGAGAGAAATTTCTTTAGAGGGAAAAACACATTTTGATGCCATCAAACGGAAAATTCATCTTTTTTTTTTTACAGCAGTATAAACATTCCTCATTAAGAAGAGTACAAAATTTACCTGTGAACCAGAAAAGCACATAGAAGAAAATGAAGGTAAGCTGCATCTTGAAATAAATGTCTGATTCTAATAGACTCATGCAAGAGAGATTACAGATTCTGAAATGACTGTAAATTGTTTAGCAACCTTGTGACTTGTTCTTATCTGTGATTGGATGATTGTTGTTTAAGTCCTACCCAGTCAGAGATTCTCAAAAAATATATCTGCTCAATGATTTATAGAGTACTAAGTTCAAAATGTGGGTTTGCTGTACTGTGCACAAATGAAGCACAGTAATATGCAGCAAACAAAAATAAAAATGTTCAGCCAGCATTTTGTATCTGCTGTTAAATGAAACCATTTATGAGCAATTACTTCTAATTAACTAGCTACTTCAGAGGAAAGAAAGCCACACAGGCTTAGAACTACGTGTTCATATTTTGAGATAACCCAACCCTTTAAGGTTTAGCTCAAATTCCAAGTGATTTAGTGCATATAGTCCATATATGCGGTGTTAAGAAATACTCTATTTGTTTTATTGCCAGTTTTGCCATGAAGATACAGTAAAAGACACGTGGTGTTTTTTGTTTTTTTTAATCAAACAGGTGCAAAGTAAACAGTTTTTTGTCAGTGGTTATAAGGAATTGTACGGCTGTGCTTACTTGCTGCACAGAAATATATTGCACTGTCCTCAACAGATATGCTGGATATGAAAAGGAATGCATCCTCTTTTGCATGCCCTGTGATGTTAAATCGAGGTTTGAATTTATCCTCTTGAGAAGCTGTGGCGTAACTGAGCATTCCAATAAGCTCCAAAGAACCACCATTGCTTTTCTGTTGATACCAGTACATGTACTGATAGTCATTGTCACCGTGACGACAAAAAAGCTTTGCCTCTTTTTCCTCCACTGTCTGTAGAAGATGTTTGGGAGACTGCTGAATGACAGGAGAACAAACCACACAAACTACAAGAGGGTGAGGAGAGCACAGCAATAATTGTATATTAAGGCTGCATTGCACTAGAAACACTTACCTGGTAACCAGTAAATAGTGATTACAGTTAAAATGATTGCTCTGATCATGATTATAATATTTAACCAAGCAACAGAATTTCTTCCGCAGTCAAAAAAGGTTTTGAAATATTACATATCTTGAGTCTGAGACTGTTGTTCGCCTCAGAAGGGAACCAGCTAAATGTTAGATGGTTGTTTATTGGTCCAAGTCAACAGAGCCCACTCCCCAGTGTCTGTGATTGTCGCTACTGTATTCTGGTTCCTCCTCCAATGTTCTGGTTCCTCCTCAATCATTTAAGAAAAGTAATAGCTCACCTTAATGCAAAAAAAGCTGCACAATTTGAGGTATCAGTCATGTCTGTCGCACAAATAGGGCAGTATGAACTATAATATACTTAGAATTAGGGGTTTACTCATATTCCTAAGTGCATTAGTCCTAGGTTCTGTGTTAAGATACATTTGAAGATGTATTAAGTCAATTCTGCTCTGTTTCAGTTCTGTCTTTATGTAAAGTATGTGAAATGCAATGCAGAACTGTTTGAAATGTAAAGCATGTGAACGGTTAGAAGTCATGCAGACAAGACATGCACACTAAGCTGGAAGTACCAGGAAATTGAAGGAAGAGAGAGATGAAACTGGACTGGAACAAGTTCCCGGTTTCTCTTGAAACTCGGTCCCCATGAATAAAACACTCAGCATATACAGTATATAGAGTAATGCATACATCTGTAAAGAAGGCCTGCATGTTGCTCTCCTTTAACGCCCACATTTAAACAGATGATGCATACTAAAATCATCACATTTTCAATAGTGCCCTCTACTTGTAGATATTCTTATTGCCAGTTTTGGCATGAAGATACAAGAAACCTTGTGGCTTTTTTATTATCAAACAGGTGCAGAGTGAACAGATATTTGACAGAGTTTATAGAGAATTGAACGGCTGTGCAAACTAGCTGCACAGAAATACACTGCGCTGTCCTCAGCAGATATACTGGATATAAGCAGGAATGCATCTTTTGTAGCATGTCCTGAGAGGACAAATCGAGGTTTGAATTTATCCTCTAGAGAAGGTTCACCAAATCTGAGCATTCCAATAAGCTCCAAAGAACCGCCTTCATTTTTTTGTTGATACCAGTAGAGGTATGTGTAGCTGCTGTCACCATGATGGCAAGACATATTTGCCTCTTTTTCCTCCTCTGTCCGTAGAAGATGTTTGGGAGACTGCTGAATGACAGGAGAACAAACCACACAAACTACAGGAGGGTGAGGAGCGCATAACAATACATGTACATAAAATAACTTAGACTGCAATGCACTGGAAATGCTTACCTATTAACATGAAAGCAGTGATTATCGTTAAAATGATTGCTCTAATCATAGTTATAACATTCAACCAAGCAATAGAAGAAATAACATTAAATTCACAGTGCAATGGTTGTTTCTTCTGCAGTTGAAAGATCTTATCACATATCTTGAGGCTGAGACTGTTGTTCACCTCAGAAAGGAACCACATAGATGTTAGGTGATAGGTAGTTGCTTATTGGTCCAAATGAAAAAAGCCCACCCCCAAGTGTCTGTGATAGTCTAGTCACATACAGCTCTGGATCCTCCTTCATTGCAAGCTTTTTGCTTTCAGCCCTGTTCTGGTGGGACTAGATTGCCTGGAGAAATTTGTGTTTTACAGATGTGTTTTGACTTGATTTTGTCTCTATTAAAGCCCACATTTAACAAACTACACATACTGAAACGTCACACTTTCATTGGTGCCCTCTATTTGTAAACATTCTTATTACCAGTTTTGGCATGAAGATCCAAGAAATCTTGTGGCTTTTTTTTTAATCAAACAGGTGCAAAGTGAGCAGTTTTTGTCAGCGATTAAAAGCAACTGTATGACTGTGCAAACTAGCAGCGCAGAAATATATTGCACTGTCCTCAACAGATATGCTGGATATGAGCAGGAATGCATCCTCTTTTGCATGGCCTGTGATGTTAAATCGAGGTTTGAATTTATCCTCTTGAGAAGCTGTACCATAATT